AACCGCTCCCACTATATGCAGGCCACCGACGGGCCAGGGGGAGGCGCAAATACGCGGGTGGAGGCCGAGTTTTTGCCGCGCTCCTCAAATTTTCTTGCGGGCTGGCCGCGTTTGCGGTGTCTGTTCGGGCGGGATTTTCGCCACGGACCCGCATTTTGACGGTTATTTTGCAGGTCAAAGCCTTTTGCGGGGTCTGCTAGAGTTGTTTTAGTTGTGCCATTGATCGAAGGCTCGTGATATTCTAGAGACAGCCGTCGAGTCCCTGTGTTTCATGTTCACGCGTACACAAACATTTCTGTGTTTGTTTCTCGAGCTCAAATGTAGCTATGAGAACTTTGATAATATAATTATTGGAAAATACCGTGGAAATTAGAACCATTTAAAAATAGGCATTGGAATAACCGTTGTATACTCTCTCCATCCCAGAATTCTTGTCTTACATTTGTCTAGATACGGATGTATCTAACACTAAAATGTAACTAGATACATCCGTATTTAGACAAATCTAAGACAAGTATTTTGAGACGGAGGGAGTATTAATGATTGTCAAAGTATAATCTATAGTCAATAATAAAGACATAAAAAGATTTAAAGAGGTAGATCCAGTTAATCTCGACCATCAATTCATGTCAATCCGACGGTCAAAATTGCTTCAGTGACGAGAGCTCAACATGTTTAACTTGCAATAAATATTATACCAAATATTACTATCAGTGATAATCATATAATTATCCTGCAATTAATATCTTACCTAATACCAACATGCAATTAATCTTAGCTAATATCAACGTGCAATTAATATTTTACCAAATATCTCTAAAAATATATTCTACTACCAAATATGAACGTGCATTGAATCGTACGCATTTATATTAGTCATAAAAAAATCCATTGGAGTATAGCTGTTGGACAATTATTATTGGAATATAGCCGTTGGACAACTAATAGTCCCGCGGCCGTTGGTATAATATAGCCGTTGGACAACTAGTAGTCCCGTGGCCGTTGGTATAATATAGCCGTTGGACAATTGATATATTCCAACGGCTATATTTTTAGTAATAAGGCTATAAATACAACAGCTATGTATTCATTTTCAAATAAGGAGAGAGAGACCAACTCTACATTTTTCAGCGTGATCTCCGCTATAGTTCGATCTTGGACTTCTCCACCCTCAGATTTTAGTGTGATCTTGGCCAGTAATCCTCGGTCGATTTGTTGGTGCGCTGCTCTGCTCTCTTCCTCTCGATCCATCATGACGTATGTGAACTCTCTTCATGTCTTCACATTCCACTTTTTTGTGCTGCAGGTGGCCAGGCTAAGACCATGTCTCCGTCTTGTGGAAGATGCACACAGCGTGATGAATACAACTACAAAAATTTGGAGGACGAAAATAAACATTTCTTGGTGCTTATGTTGGGTGATTTTCAACAACAGACGGTAACTAACATCTATTCTTAGATTTAGTCCCACTACGGAATGCATGTTTTGTTTCTTATGCGTTTAGGCACTAGCTACTTTCCTAAGCATTCAACATGTTTCCTTGAAGCGTGTTTGGACCTTGTTCAGGAACTATATCGTTTCAGCAGATATATTTTTAAATTTCTTTGTGCAGATAATCCCAAAAGAGTGGGTGCGATGCCTGAAAAGCGAGATCCCGGATGAGATCAACCTAGAAACTCGAAACAGGGTTAGTTACACAATCAAGGTTGCCAAGTACCGAGAAAAGCATGTTCTTACAGTGGGTTGGCCCCAATTCGTCGAGAACTTCCTTCTACAGTTGGGTGATTCCTTACTATTCAGATACAATGGAGACTCTCTGTTTAGTATTGTAATTTTCGATAAGCTTGGCCGTGAGAAAGCATCATCTGTTCTTGTCGATCCTTTTCCACCACAAGTCCAAGGAAGACGCAATGAAATCAGGTAAAGTATCTAGCTAGTCTTTAATTATTATGTACGATACCATTTCATAGGGCAAGAACAAATCTCACTTAAAATGGCTTTTGCACTGCAGGTCTGCAAGAAAAATGAACATGCTTTGTGAAACATGTGAAATCTGGGATGAACATCACTATATGAACTTGGACGATGAAAAGAAATATTTTTTGATGCGCATGATGGGTGATTTCCAAGATAAGATGGTAATTCATATTCAAAACAGTACCACTCCCTTAGGTCCTGTGATTTTGTTGTTTCTCATGAGACCAGCTGTGTTTTTCTTCGTTCTTCTAGTTTAAATTATGTGTACCGTGTGTAGTTATTGCATCATTGTGAACACTTCTCCAGTTAATTTGATGACTAGATTTATGCCAGCATGATAGAACATTCTAGTATGTTAGTTCGCCCAAAAAGTCCTTGTGGTATGGTTGCCGTTTCATTTTGTATCTTGTTTACGAACTGTTCTTTCAAACAATATAATATCTTGAAACGTATTTCGGCAGATCATCCAAAAGGAATTTGTTCAGCGTTTCAAGGGAGAGATCCCAGGAGAGATTGAACTTGAAACAAAGAATAAATGTCGATACATAATTAAAGTTATCAAGAACCAAGAAGAGCAGCTTGTGCTTGCAGCGGGATGGGGGAGTTTCGTACAGAAGTTTAGTCTAGAGATGGGTGACAGAATAATATTATTCGGATACAATGGGAACTCCCGGTTCAGTGTCATAATCTTGGATCAACTTGGGCGTGAGAAGGCTTCATCCGTTGTCGATCCACTCCCGCCTCGTGCACTCGAAAGGCACACAAATGATGCTGAAACCGTGAGCCAACATCCTTCTGATGGCCCCGTGGACTGTTCTCCTCCGCTCATGCTAATGCCACCGCCTGCTCACTTTGATGTTCAGCCTCAGCAGCAGGCCATGCTAATGCAGCCTCCCCTGAATCATTCCTCCTCCTCCAAGTCATCAGCTGGTAAAAAAATAACACATAATATATTCTCCCCCTTTTAACAAACATCTATCTTTTATACCTGTATTTATTTGTTTCTGTTTACACACACAGGAGAAGGAGATGGCTCTTTCTCGTCACATGATCATGTCCGGAATGCACTTGGTTTCAGGCGTGTTGTTAGAAGAAATCCAACCTCATCTCAGAAGCAGCAGGAGAAGGATGGTTATATTACCACGGATAAGACCAAGCTAACCTCTGCTCAGGAGCAGCAGGTGAAAGACATGGTCCGGACTATCCGTTCACGCAGAAGTGGCATAACCATCTTTGTTGCTCTGATTGGCAAGGCCAATGTTCGTCCAACATTCTCCCTGGTGAGTAGCTCCATCCATATTTATTTGTTGCTTCGACCATGCACATTCAAGTCTGTTAACGTGCTTCTCTTTATGGACAAACACACGACACTTTTTTTATGCTGTAATAGTATTCATAACTGGTCATACCTTAGTTTACAATTACATGCAATATTATTTTACTTCTAACCTATTACCTCTTTGGTTTTAATCTGTAACAGACTGTCCCAATCACGTACGGGGAGGAACATTTTGGAGATGGGAAAGTCATCTGCTTACAGCTAGGCGAGAAAAAATGGAATGCGAGCTTCAGCAGTTCGCGCAATGATTATCGGATCGAAAGGGGATGGAGTAAGTTTGTCAAGGACAACTGTTTGAACATAGGTGATATCTGCCTCTTTGAGCCGTTGAGCAACCAGGGGAGTACCATGGAAGTCCATATCATCCATGTGAATAATGGCAATTGACTCATTGTTATGCCATATTGCTGTTTTGCCGATCTCCCTTACGGCGGGTGTTCTTTTGGTGATGTGGGGTTTAAGATTTATGTAGGCTAGTAGAGTCATGGTTATACTAATTAGCTGATGCCTACTTAACCTGCATAATGATGGAAGTTATTCTTATGCAACCTACAGTTTGGTTCAACTTTGAATTAGTGATGTCAGTGTGTCGAATTTAATACTGGTTTAGTTTATTGGTTTCTGACTTTCTGGACTCCTTTCCTTCAAATCCAGCATGTCAACCGTGCCTCTTGTTGCTATGATTATTGTTTTGTGTTTCTTTTTCCTTGGTATATCGGTGGAAGGAAATAACTGCAAAGGCCATCTTATCCTAAGGTAACATAAGAATTGTAAATGTCACAATTAATTCAAGTATCAAATAGTCATTTCATCTAAATAAGCTCAAAAGAAACGTCCTTCAAGACCTTAAGACAACAGAAACTGAGATCTGTTACTAGCTAAATACATGTGCGTTCGCCAGGGGGAAACAAGCGAAGTATGTGCCGATCGTTTAATTCTAGTTTTGAAAATGCTAGGGAGTAACATTATGTCTAGTTTTCACTACATAGCTATAAGCACAAATGCATTTCTTTTCCTCCCTCTCGGCCATCATGTGCACCATACATGTGCTCTGCTTTCACGCCTTAAGAGATTATTCTGCTTCAGTCGCTAGATAAATTTCCTAAACTAAGGAAAAGAAATAAAGTCAGAACTCTACATGACCTGAAAGAAAGGAAACCGATGGCGACGAAGGCAGACGATGGCACTGAAGTCCTTGGTCAGCGTGATGACATAGCCTCTTCCTCGGGTGCGCCTTTGGGGGATGTTGCCCTGTCCCGCATCATCTGATCTTTGACGGGGTGCTGCAGTGGAGCGGGCATAGGTTTTGGGGGCGTTGCAGGCAAGAACAGTCGGCACCATCACCTTCATGATGTGCGGATGCTAGGAGGAGATGACGATATGGGGAGGTCACTGCGGGAGTGCCGCCCTTGAAGCAGGACAGGGTGTGTGGTTTGCGCCATGGTTGAGCGTCACGAGGAGAAACATTGGAGAGGTGGGACGCAAGCATTTTTTAACGAGGATGATATTTTTATTTTGAGAGGTGGTATTTTAATTTTGAGAGGATCGCATTTTGTATTACTGCACTTTTTTTCTGATTTTTTGTGCATGTCATTTTCTCACACAAAACAATTTTAGTGGGCTTTGAGCCAATTGGGGGTTGCCATGACCCTCCCCACTGGCAAATAGGAGAAACATTCGCAGGAGGATCTCTCCCAGGCGAACGAAAACATTCGCTGGAGGTTCCCTCTCAGCCGATGTCTCCCAGATATTGGGGTCCTTAATAAAAGATCAAACGATCATTCATTACAGCATATGCCACAGCGGGACGAAACACTTTAAGATGAACACCATCTGACCTATTATCAAAACTAGCAGAAAAAGACCCATGCGTTACAATAGGAGAAAAAAATCATAGCATTTGATTTGATTTAAGGCCCGTGCGTCTCTCTGTCGAGCTGCAGATTCCTGCTGTGTAGGCCAAGTCGAGACCCAACGTCACATAGGCCACCGCAGAAGCCACCACGTGGTCGGCCTGTAGCTGAACGCGGCCTACGACTGCTCCTCCAAAGCCATGGCGGTCTGCGCAACGTGGAAGAGGTGGAGCCGGCGCACTGCAAAGCTGGGGAGGTGGAGCGGCGACGGAGAACCTCGAGACGCAAGAGCTCCTCTCTTTGCAGCGGTGGTGGCCACACTCAAAGCGCATGAGCTCCTCTCCTGCCTGCGCTGCCGGTGGGATGTGTGGTGGGTGGAGTCGTGGATGTCTAGGTGAGTGACGAGAGAGAAAAAAAGGTGGGATGGGTGGGTGGGTGATGGGCAGGCCAGAAAAAGATGGACACGAATGGATGGACAACGGACAACGTCCGCTTCGTCCCAAATATGACCCGAAGTAAATGGGTCAAAGTGGACACAAAGCGGATATGCAGACGAAATGGGTCTCTGCATTGGACCATATTTTTTGGCCTTGCAGATCCAAACAGACAAAAACCGACGAAATGGGTCTCTGCGTCAAAGTTGGCCTTAGAGTATCTTCAATAGATGATGTATTTTACACAATCTAAAAATGATGTGAGTAGAATATACACAATTAAAAAGTGTTTTTACATCATCAGAAAACGTCCAACTCGACCAATAGATGATGTAAAACTAGATGAACTACTATATCATTTCAAACGTAATTGAAACATACCAAGTTCATTTGAAGTAAACATAGTTTATAAAACAAAACAAAAATAAACATAATAAAAACTACTACATCATACCAAACTACTGCTCCTCGAGTCTACTTGAACTACATCAAACATAAAACTAGTCACCGTCGTTTTCTAGCCGCTGCCAGAACTCGCCTTTGCTGTGGTCGTCCGAGTCGTCAAGCGTCTCAACCTCCTCTTCCTCTGAGTCATCCCAGCCCAACGAGTTAGACTCGATGGGAATCACCGCCGAGGGGTCGATCCCGTCCCCCTTCTTCATCGTCTTCTTTTTCTGCTCGGCGTCACGCTTTTAATAGAACTCTTGCTCGGCCTGGACATAACCTGGATGCTCTCGCGTGAACCTCGCCACCGCCGCTTTGTCACTATCGCTGAGCAATGCGAATCGCCGGCTTCTTACTTTTCTTCTTCATCCTCCTCTTGATCGGTTGTATCTTGAAATTCACAGGTACGGGGAACTCCAGATCTTCCCGGGTCTCCATCTCCGGGAAGCTGAGCTCTTCCCTCGGCCGGCCAAAATGCCACATGGTGACATCGTACGCATAGCTTATTATTGTATGGATTAGTTAGGCTACAGAATTCAGGCTCTGGTCTAGGACTAAGTACTCCTTTTGTTTCATGCATCAACTGCTCAAATACAGCATGCCGTCAAAACTAGATTGTGATTTTGTCCTTTTGATTGATACCATCGTTCTTTAAATCCCCTCACCAAAGTTCAATTCTAGCTCCATAGCAAGCGTTGAATTAGTACTGATCATGGAGCTACCAGTGGCTAGTTAACATTTCTAGTAACAATTTTTTATGTATTCACTTCAAGCTGCATCTGGTTTTATTCTATAGCGCCTTTATCTAACATTATGTTCAAGGTTATAGGGGAAAAAAGCTAGCATGTGAATTTTAGTTGCTTTTATATGGCCATGAGATAGTGGTGCAAACCCTCCTACCTCCCTTTTTATTTTTAGTTTTATTTGTTGTAGTACACAATTGAACAACTATATATGCCAACTACAAAAATATTTGTTTGCATTTTGTAGAAGATTATAGGATGCAACTAAATTGTATTCATCGAGTCTGTTACAATATATACAGGTTGACAAGCCAACTAACCCTACAATATCTCTAGTAGTTAATCTATACAATTAGGCTAGAGATCATAGGAGGATCAATCGGTAATAAATACAGAT